AAGCAGCTTTTAAAGTAAAACAAGCAGATTTTTAAGACAAGCTTTGCAGACAAGGCTTTGCAGACAGCTTTTAAAGCAAGTACCCCTATGCACATTTCTACTCAAGCAGGTTTCAACTCAAACGGAGCACCTTTTCCCCCAAGCACAGTTTAACCCAAAAAAAGCAGCTTTTAAAGTAAAACAAGCAGATTTTTAAGACAAGCTTTGCAGACAAGGCTTTGCAGACAGCTTTTAAAGCAAGTACCCCTATGCACATTTCTACTCAAGCAGGTTTCAACTCAAACGGAGCACCTTTTCCCCCAAGCACAGTTTAACCCAAAAAAAGCAGCTTTTAAAGTAAAACAAGCAGATTTTTAAGACAAGCTTTGCAGACAAGGCTTTGCAGACAGCTTTTAAAGCAAGTACCCCTATGCACATTTCTACTCAAGCAGGTTTCAACTCAAACGGAGCACCTTTTCCCCCAAGCACAGTTTAACCCAAAAAAAGCAGCTTTTAAAGTAAAACAAGCGGATTTTTAAGACAAACATGGACGTTTCTACACAAGCAGGTTTCAACTCAAACAGAGCACCTTTTCACCGAATCACTAACCCCAAACAAACAGCTTTTAAAATAAATTTTACATTTTAAAACGACAATACCAGGCAGTCCCAGGTCTCTCTCCCAGCTCTCTAACTGCTAGTCCAGCAAGGAAGCAGACAAGCAGCCTCTTCACTAACAAAGTTTGAATTTCCCCGCTTTCCCTGCCTTCCCTGCAAATTAGGTATGCTAATATCTGTGCACTGGAGGATTGTGGGAGGAATATCCAGCCCCTGATGGGGGTCCTGTGGGGCACCCCAAAATACTGAAGAGCTCTCCTGGCCTCTTTCGGGACTGGGGCTGTGCAACCCTGTTCATATCAAGAGGTGCAGCCTTTGGGAGACAGGGCACAGAAAGGGGCAGGAGTTGGAGGGGCCATTCTAACTCATACCTGGCAGGGGAGATACCATTATGGTAAATGTGGTTTTCCCAGGGTAAGGCTCATCTATTGCATTTTGGATGTGCTGACCTGTGATTTTCCCAAATGTGGGGAAATCAACTGCCTAAGTGGGGGACTGTGTTTGTAGTTTCCCCTGTTCTTTCTAGAATTATTCTTTCCCCTTTTGTTCTTGGCTGTTTTCACTGCCTGCTGCCATAGGCCTGTTAGCCTTGCTGGTTTTCCAGGTGGGCTGCAGGAAGCAGATCCTGGAAAGCCAGCAGTGCAGAATGGTGAGGTCCAAACAGCAAGCAGTCTCTGGTGCTAGTTCAGAGGCTCCCAGCATGGCAGTAGGGGGCTTCTGGGTGATGGTGGTGGAACCCCTTTTTTACTATATTTGTTCCATAAGACGCACATACTTTCTCCCCCACTATTTGGGGGGGGATGTGCGTCTTATGGAGCAAAAAATACGGTACCTTTGTTGAATCCTTTTTGATCCGGACCTTCCTCGCCTGATCCTTCATGAATAAAAAGAAGAAGAAGGAAAGAAGAGTTAGAAAATAATAACATTTGTTCCCGCCCTTTTCTCCATTGGGCCTACTCCCTTTTTAATGGCCTCATCAGGCCCCTTTAAGCGATGTGAATCCTACCCAAATAAAATAACACTCTCGGACAGGCATTCAAAGTGTATTTTTTGCTTGGGCGAGGCACACTAACCTTCCTTGTGCCAGGCCTGCAAAAACTTAATCAAACCAGCTCTCAAGCTTAGGCTCCAGCAGTTGCAGTCCTTCATTTCAGAGAAGTCCCTCCAGCCATCTCAGGATGTCACCATGGAAGCCTTCCAAACCCACACTTCAGAACCCTCACCAAGCTCTCAGAGTTGTTCCCTGACTGCCAGGCCGCAATCTTCGAAGAGGCCTAAAACGGCCACTATGTCTCATCCCTCGATACCGAGATTCAAAACGGCCTCAACTCACATATTGGTATTGACACCAAAGTCCACCTCAATACTGACACCGAAAAAGAAGAAGAAATCTTCGACTACGCATAAGGCTAAGCAGCCTACGGATAAGTCTACACCATCTGCTCCAACTACAGATCAGCTTCAGGAGGTGGTACGCCTTGATCTATTATCTGGGGATGAGGATGTCTCTCTCCCTTTGCCTGACACTGTGCTCTCCCCACAGTTCAGTCACTCTCCTGACTGGGGGAATACCTTGACTGAGGTTACTGTACTGGCACAGGTGAGCCCATAGTCTCCACCTGGGTCCGTCCCAGGCCATACTTCAATGCTGGCACTGGAATCAGTTCAAGAGGATCTTCTTAGGAAGAGAACACAAAAGATTCATCATATCGAGCCTTCAAGAGATACCGAAGGTTATTGATAAAGTGCCGCGTATTTGCATGGAACCTGAGTTACAATATCAACATCACAGCTTTAAGAGGGTGTGTCTCAATGATCATCCTATGTACTACGAGCCTGAAATCTATGAGCCCGACTGCTATTACCACCCAAAGTCATACAGATTTAGACCCTCGGTACTGGCGATACTGCTCATAAGTCTACCATCCTGATTTGCCTTCTCTTTCACCCTTACCCCCTCGATACCGGGCACAAGTTGACCGATACCTGTCTTCTGAGGATGACTTGCAGGCCATCCCACTGCCTCCATCTCAGTACCACAAAAGACTCCCACCTGCTGATCAGGAAGTTGCCCATTCTCAGGTGAAATGTCCGCATCATGCAATGTTGGTACCGACCCGATCTCCCTGAGCCGTACACTTCCACAGGTTTAATCTTCAGCTTTACAGATTACATACTGTGGACAGTGACCACCGGAACTGATTCTCCACCACAAATCTAAGAAAACAAAAGGTAAAGAACATTCACTGGCATATAAGGAACCATCCAACTGACTTTCGGTGTCAACTAGAAGGGAATTGTCTCCATCACCAGATCAGATTCCCATCTCTTGATGACAACACTGATGACTCTAATGCCAAAACAGTGAGAGACTCCCCAACGAACATTCCCACTCCAGACTCTGACGTCATGGAGAACCATGCTCCATCACCCTTGGAGGACTTCACATCCTATTCACAATTGAAAATTAATGGATCTGGCAGTCGACCAACTGGTGTCGGAGGAGGTGGGCAAGGTCTTCAAAGACATCACCCAAGACCGGAACCCACTGCTTCATTTGACCTTTATTTCATATCTCCTTAAACTTATTAAGGAATCTTCGAACAAGCCATCCTCAACCCCACAGATCCCCAGAAGAGTCAAAAATTCATATAAGACTCACTACGATAACACTAACTTCCTCTCTAAGCATCTACTTCCCAACTCATTCATAGTGGATGCGACCCAAAACAGAGCCAGAAATCGCTCTGCATCTGCCCCCAACAACAAAAAAGGAAGGAAGTGGATGTCATTGGCTGCCAGGTCTACTCACTTGCTGCTTTTATCCTGAGGATGGCTACTTAAACTGCTGCCATGGCTGTTATTTAAAATTTGATACAAGATTATTGAGAAATCCCAGTTTCTTTTCAAAGAGATTGCTTAAGAAGAAAACTCAAGGCAGAACTCTTCCCCTTGGAGAGAACAAGCAACTGTAAGATTCACATTCCTTACTGAGTAAAACATTTCATAAACTTTGAATTATTCTAGAAGGAAAACTAATAACCATTGTGTGTGTTAATTGAGTCTGATACAGGTGCTCAAATGAGTGAATTCTTCTTTTTAAAGGAGGTCTTTATTCATCAGAGCCCTTTTGTGAATGATGTCCTATTTGTCCCCATGTAAAATAGGAAACAACTAATTCGTAGCAATGTTTAAATGCACTTTTCCATTTTTGTAGTTCATGTGCTTTGGTGGAATGAGAACCCAGATAGTCGGGCATCTGGAAGACACTATGCACATGAGGATCCCAGGGTAGTGGCTGCAGGTAAGTAAATTTTTTTTAATTCTCCCTTTCTTTAAAAAGCCCATAAATTTCAACATTGCTTAAGTCATAACTTCTATCTATCTTAATTCTTTTTCAGTTCGGGAAAGTGTTCAGTTCCTGGAAACACAGCAAAACTCTCTCCTGATTCCTACAGCTTTTTCACCATTGAAGTAGTTTTCTATGCTTTCTAATGGGAACTACCTTTCTATTGTACTGTTAAGTGAGTTTAAACGCCACCATAATCAAACCACATTCCTTCTTGTTCAGAGATCTTGTTGTCAGCCCTGTCTGTATCTCCCCCCCTCCACACGCCTTTTCTGGCTTGCAGCAATCCATGTCTCCCTCCCTTTCTGCATGTCACCTGGCAGTCGAGAACATGTCTTACCTAATAGGAATTCCAAGTTTACTAAATTATATGTAAGCTGGTTTCTTCATGCCCAGCTGGCCCTCCTTTAGTAGTTAAGATCTGCAGAAAAAAGGGAATGCTATAAAGTGCTTGGAAGGCTGAAAATATGGTGCAGTGTATTTGAGAGAAAATGACACAGAGAGCCGCATGGTCCTTTACATCACTGGTTCTTAACCTTGGGTTACTCAGGAGTTTTGGACTGCAACTCCCAGAAGTCTTCACCACCAGCTGTCCTGACTGGGGTTTCTGGGAGTTGTAGTTCAAAAGCATCCAAGTAACAAAGGTTAAGAACCACTGCTTACATAATGCAAATGTAGGAGAGCAATACCTTTATTGAGACCACTAAAAATCAGATATTCAGTGCAAGCTTTCATGAATAAATTCACTTTCTCAGGCATGCACCAATATCTTGTGGAGAGTGCGGAAAAATTATGTCATGGGAGAATATATCTGTGAAGATTATCAGTCATCCGTGTGAGGTTATTCAGAAGTTGAGTCATGGCAACTGGGTTTCTTGTTAGTTTGATATATCAGGGATCTCCTACCAATTATCCTCAGACTGAAGAAACTACTTGGATGGATGAGTAGCAAAATGTTTCAACCTAACAAGAAGTCCAGGTGCCGTGACTCAACTTCCAGATGTCATGGGAGATGTTCCATGAATTTGTTCACGAAAGCTCACACTTGAATATTTGATTTTTAGTGGTTAAATAAAGATACCACTGCTCCTACATTTGTCTTTAAGAGAGGTATAATTTCTCATGGCATACTCACATTTATTTTGCACCACTGCCTTGCCAAATCATGTTTATGGGAAGTTGAAATTATGCAAATAGGGACCATAGGGAGAGCAATACATTTACATCATGGAAAGTCAGTCCTTTTTAGAGAGCCTTCACTGTTTCAAAAAGTCTTCACCTCTGTTGTTCCTCAAGCTCAAACATTACATCTCCCTAAGACGGATATGTACTTGTCTGCAGCTCAGATACATTGTTCTGTCATCAGTTTAAGCAAACAGATGTTTTTAAATTGTATGGTCCAGCTTTTATTGGTCTAAAATAGATTCCAGGAACCTTTTACAACACAATTTAGGGAGTCGTAGTGTGAACAGTGTCCAAGGAGTCATGAAAATGACCCGCTTATCCTTTCCAAAAGTTGGTGGGAACCCACCCGTGAATATATTGTAGTTTCTGGGTAGCATATGCATCCCCTCTCCTTTTCGGTATGTAGGAAATTTCAGGTGACTCTTCCTAGGCTGAAAGGGCTGGTAATGGCTTGTTAAATGATAAAATGGTGAATGAATTGATTGTTTCTAAATGCTATTGGCAACTCACATTATTTATATATTATGAGGATATCATGGAACACATTTGGAATAACCAGGTGAAAAACAAGATATTCCTAAAACATAAATGTTCAAAGGTAAACATTAAACATGGATTTTTTTTAAAAAAAGTACAGTTTGTACTTGCTTCTGTTTTAACTGCATGTAATGTTTCAGGTTCTTTCCAAAGCATCCTTACTGAAGCAGTTACAATTTAAAGTGGAGCAATCAACCTTGGGGGCAGAGGGAATAATATGTTTATACAGATGGTGAAGAGTTTATTCGTGCACTCCACGAGGAAGGTTTTAGCTGTCAGCCTCACTGGCTGAAATCATTCTGTTAAATAATGCCTTTTAAATGATGGAAGCCATCTTGGTTCCTTTTGAGGAGAAAGGGGAGGTAAAAATAGTTTAAATAAACAAATAGTAAATATTATGCATGAATGCATTATTGGACTCTGCTTCTTCAAATGCCAGTGAATGGACAGAGTCTTGAATGCTCTCACAGCTAAAAACACAATACTATAATTTTCCAGTTTCTTAGAGAAACACTTTTTGCCATAAGCTATTTATTTAGTAGCCCTCCTCACCAGGTGCTTGTAGTGTTACATTAAGTAAACGCAGACTATGATACCTTATGTCAAATAAAACTCAGAGGTGCCCTTTATAATTTTTTCTGTAATGACCTAATGCAGCTGCCCCCATGGAAATTTTTGCAACTTGAACAAGACCCTTCACTACAGTAAGGTAGCATATGGGGGGAAGGGTTAAGGCTGTTTCCTCTCTAGTGCCCAGGAGCACTACATGCTGGTATTATGCTCACCTGCTGGAATACTATAATAAATTACCTACATTCGGCTCAAAACCTGCAGAGTTAGCATACAGAATTCTCTTACCCTTTTTCATAGATATTTCTTTTCACATGCATTATGCAAAGCCCAGGAGCCAGAGAGGTAAACAGCAACATGTTTCTATGCCTTGAGACACCTGAAGGTAACATGTGCTTGGAAAGGTAACAGGGGAGGGAGCCTAAAGAGATCTGCATGGAGGGGGTTAGGCACCTTTCATTTGGAGGCTTGTGGTTTGAGAGGGTGGAGTGCCCAATTCCTCCATTTTGACATGAGCTCCACCCATTAAACAGGCTGTCTCTGCCACTTGCTGCTATGGGAGGATGAAACAGCATTGCCAGAATGAAGTTAGATAGTATCTTGGGTTGGGGAAAGATCACATGTAGAGATGATGAAGAATCCGGTAAAACCAGCAAGGACAGTTATGATTCGAACATCATCTGGCCTTTGGAAAACCTTACCAAGGATGGTTCCCCACCTCTGCATAAATGAGTAACAAATCAAAATAGTAAGCCAGGTTTGTGGGAGAATCACTGATCATCACTGCATGTTGACTGAAATAAACCTTATGGAATTCAATTAGATTGATTCTCAGGCAAGTGAGATTTTTGGGGAGGGGTGGTAAAAGAGAGCAATAAAATAATTTCAGTTTGCCAGCCATAACCTAGGATTCTCTTTTTTTTTCATTAACAATAACACAAATATATACAGATGTAAAGTTAGGATCTTAAAATGTAGTAGCAGAAACACTGTTACATGTTTATGCTGTTGTAAGTCCAGTACTGTAAATTTCAGCAGTGAATGGTTATCAGTTGAGCAATCAACTTTTGTTTTGTTGTATAAAAGTGACATGACTGCTATGTGACAATTAAAACAAGTGTTGACTTCTTAACTGGCAGCAGTTCACTGTTGGAAGCTTAGTATTGGACTTATCCTGGTGGGAGTAGCAACAGGATTTTGGCCAGCAGTTATGAGTATATACGTTACGAGATAATTTAGTAAGTTAAGCTATCTTTTCTTTCAGGTTCCCTATTTAAGGTTGCAGGTCTTACACATAGTCAATGGCACATTCTCATTGAGTTCAGGAGGTCTTCTGAGTAGGTCTACAGGATTGCAATATTAAGCTTCAATTCTAAATAGATTTATTTGTAAGTACTTCTCATTGAACAGAGTGACTTGTAAGTAAAAATTAAATGCACCCTTATGTTTTCATCCTGTAAGATCAAATGTGGGAGCAAAGGACAGAATACAAGAAGTAGTAACAGGATTCCAAAGTTGAGATGCTCAGTATTGTATAGATGTACCAGTAAACAAAAATGTCTTCTAACTTGGAAACAGCTTTATGCCACAATTGTACAGTACATGCACAACCATTTGTAGACAACCAACACTTTATTATTTATTTTCTTTACTGGATACAAGGCAATTAACAAATGCCTATCAATATTTCACAAATAGTTATTAGAAATACAAATATATATTTTTTTGTTTTTTCCATAAAAATGACCATTGAAAGGTTTTAACTTAAATTGTGTGAGAGATAAATGGTTCTAGGTTTTTGCAAAGTTAACGGCATTCCAGTGCAAAAATAGATCCCATTACAGCTAGTGTAAAGTGCTTGGAATGAAGGACCAACCATATTAAATGGAGGGGAGATTGAAACCATAGAAGGAAAAAGCACAATAATACATGTTAATCTTCAGTATTTTTGTTTTTCAAAAAGGAACAGGGGCTCTCTAACAGTACAAATACTGCAATGGGTAGGTGGAAACTTCACCCCTGCATATTAAAGTGGTATATGTTCTCAACACGTGATCAGTGGTTTGTTTAACACATTAAGCACCAAGGATAATTTTGGCTAACAACCAACAGACAGGAAATGTTGTACAAAGAAGCATTATAGATGTTGAGGCAACTGTACCACATACAGGGTGGTAGTGTTCGGTGTAGGGTCAAAACTGATTAGCATGGATCCCCACTCCTACGATGAAGCACTTTTAAGCACCACTGCTTCTAGAGAAAGAGTCAAACGTGTTTCAATTTCTCCTACTAAAATCAATGGGGCTTGCAATCCAATCCTTTATATGTCTGTTCAGAAATAAGCCCCTTTGTATTCTGTAAGGCTAACTGTTGAGTAAATGCTAACAGGATTGCCACCTGTGCTGTAATCCTGTACTGCTTACATAGGAATAAGCATCCCAAATACAGAAGAGCCTTCTCATGAGTGGACATCTCTTGAGTAGACAAAGTTTAACACAACCTTTGTCAGATTATGTTTTTTCTTGCACAGAATTGCAGGTATATCTTAATACAGTATAGCAAAAAGCACTCCTGATGGTGTGATGAAGGACTGGGTCTCCTGCTTTATCTTAAAATAAGCCATGGTGACCATTGTGTAAAAGCAGTAAAGTTCTCTGTGCATCAAAATTGTCAGATAATGCTAATTAGAAGGGGAAACACCTACTGAGCTGTTGAGGTGCAACAGCTGCAACAGTTTTGCAGTTGGGGTGGGGTGAGCTGTGGGGAACAGAAAGGGGAGTAAGAGGAGGTAGGATCCAAAATCAGGCCCCATGTACTTCAAAACAGTTGCAGTTAATCTCTTCAGGGTTGTGCGTAGCACAGGATTCAAAGATCGTCCCTGCTGAATCTGCAGATACAAAGCCTTTTTGTTGATCTTAAGGCTCTCCAGGCTGATGAAGAGGCACTTGTGGCCATGTCTGCTGCCAACAGTTTTTATAAATGCACCTGCTTACATTAATTTTTAAAAGCCTTGCTTCTTCCTAATGAGCAGTCATTTTGCGAGACATCTTTTAAGCATCAACTTATATCTCATCTTTTTGAATTGAACCTAAATGTTCATTTGCTCACTGGGACTGTTGCTCTCATCCCCAACTCTGGATTATTTTTCTGCAGTCTAGCCAGGAAGGGGTAGTGCAACAGTTGTGCCTTCTTGAGCAAGCGAAGGGCAGAAAATGACTGCTAAGATGGGTGGAGCTCTTCCTCCCGGTTCAATTTACAGCTTAAAAGGCATTTGGTTGGCTGTGCAGCGTAAGACGTGGCCGTTGCATGATTTGGCAGTCTTTATGTGTAGGAAACCTTTAAGCTGTGACATTTATGGTAGCTGAAAACGGGTAGGTGTGTTTCCTAGATTAGAAAAATCCTTTTCAAGTCTGCACAAATGATGCTTTGGTGCATCAAGATTTTAGTGGCAATAGGGACATGACATGAACAATGATTGATATGAACAGTGATTGATAGGACAGCAGGCACAGAGCTCCACAAACATTGCTGAGTCACATCTATAAATAATACTGTAGCAAAGAAATAGATAAACATGAGTCTTCAATAGTAACAGTTGAAAACAGCGACAGTTCCACAAAATCACTGTGGAAGAATAAGTAAATTGGTCACCATATAGTTGCAACAGAACTGCTCCCCCCCCCTTCCCCTGAATGTTTGTATGGTTGATATTTGACTCTGGTACACCTTCATAAAAAATGTTGACTCAGGTGGATGCAAGTATTGAGGCAACATGCTTCCTGGCCCATGGTTAAGACCATTGATAGTTTTGTGCAAGTCCCCCTGATGTTGTGTAGGTTAACCAGGCCAGCAGCTAATACTTAAAAACAACGTTGCAGTTGTGTGATGGCGACACTATAGTGGTTACTGTGGTGTTCTCATTGCCAGCAATGAAGATGGCACCCAAGCAACCCCAGTCACCCCACACAAAGGGCTGTGCACCCCTTGGCATGGCAAATAAATAATCACTGGCCAAGCATTGTCTGGATTGTTATGCAACTTCTGACAAAAAAACACTGAAATAGAAAGAAAGAGACGTATGGTAGAAGACCATATAGCAGCAGGTGCCACCATACGAGGATTTCACAGAGTTATAATGTAGGAACAACTAGATTCAAATATTTCACTAATGAACTATACAACAAGGCAACATCTCCAAGAGGCACCGCCTCTGCAATGGAATATTGTTTTCTTTGCATTGAGTTGCATTGCATTGAATGGTTACCAGTAGAACATCCAGTTTATTGTCTTCCTCTCTGTATCCACCGACTCTTGGCTCTTGGGAAGATCCCCTCCACATGCTATGGAAAGGAGTCCTATCTCCCCCTCTGCTCAGTACTAGAGTTGCTGCACCCTTCTCAAAAAGGGCTGCTCATACATAGCTTTCCTTCACCTTCTCATCTTGCAAGAAGGAATTCAGAACTGCAACGTCTACCACAGTCTGGTTTTTGTGTAATGACAAGTCCTTTGTGTGGTCATCATCACTTTGGTCCTTGGCAAAGTTTACAAATACCTAGAAGAGACACAGAAGATTAAAAGGCAACAAGTTCGTATGTTAACAACAAAAATAAATCTAACTGTTGCCCTCTTGTACTTTTACTGATTCCAAAAAAGCCTAGAACCAATACATTAAACAAAAACAGTACACAATTATGGCTAAAATCCTCTTCATGTTTTATAGATGTATAAAGGAATTTGTGCAGCATTTTTGTCTTCTGGTGCACTCTCCCTTGCACAAATGACTTTGCTATCAGCTTGCCTGTTTGTACAGAAGAGAGCCTGCCAGAGGGAACCAACATTTATACAGTTTTCCTTAAGCAGTTGTGGGTGCAAACCAGTGCTGAAATTTTGTTGGATGAGATCTGCCTGCACAACAGGAAAAACAGCAGCAGCAGTACATTGTGCCAATTAAAGGCTTTCTTTTGCACTTCCAAGGTGTTCTCAACTTTGTGTTGTGACTGAGCCACACACTGAAATTGGAAAAAGAATTCTATAAATCAGACACCTAAGGTGGAGCTGCACAACAGAATTTCAGCCCATTCTCCAAAGTACAATCAGAAAAAAAGGACAAAGGAAAATCAGACCCAGAATAGCAGCAACAGACAACATCAAATGCAGTTAACACTGAAAAAAGCAGCAGTTTTAAAAATTATGTTTTATAAATTTGCCAACAAAAGAACATCTTTAGGTTGTAGCAGAAGACATTCAAAAGGCTGTCATTTGAGGAGTATGTTTCAGAGCAGCAACATCAGAGCAAATGAGGTCCTCCTCCTGAGTTGCCTTTTAGTTCCTCTTAAAATGGATCAATACACGGCCACTTAATACAGCTGGCTCAGGCAACAATTGCTAGTAACCAATACTGTAAAGCAGTAAATAATTTGGTGGTAGTAATGGCAGTTGTGAAGCCAATGATGCCTGACTAAAGGTTCCTAAGAGAGCCTTCCTCAAGCTGTGTGACTTCAGATGTTTTGGGGCACAACGCCCATCAGCCCTGACCATCATGAAGGCTGCAACTAGGCACACACTTCTCTTTGACAGAGTTCTGCTTTACAAATGCACCACATATTGGCTACCAGCTTTTTATTTTCTCCTCCTCCACTACATCTAAATTAATTTGTACAACTTTCTCTCAGCCTAGCAAAGCCCAGCAACATCTACTACCTTTCACTCTCAAACCAAGTGACCAATTTTAAATACTCATGTACAACTCAATATCCTTCACCCCCAAAAGCCCACCTCTACAGTCTTCACTTAGAAGGGCTGTATTTAGCTGGGCTAAAGAGCCAACGAGGTGGCAGACACTAAAGCTGGCCATCCCAGATTCGTAAGCTACTTGGCAAGTCATGCTGAGGTTGAAATTGTTTAGTGTATCTCCCACAGTAAGGAAGGTTGGTTTCAAACCAAAAGTTGGGTGTTAAATAGAGGAAGCTCTACTGCCAAATGAATCAAATGCTCCTATGGAAAACTGAAATGCTCTGGAATTTCTAGTCCATCAAATATGAGGAATGTAAACCATCATAAACTCACTTGGTCAAGTGTAGTCTGGGAAACGGAGTAGTCTTCTATATGGAGTCTCTTTTTGTTCTGGGAAAGGATGCTAAATATTCTAGCCAGAGAAGATGGAGAGGACGGCAGCTGATACTGCAGCATGTTGCGATGCTTCTCCTTCAGGACACTGCCCGGAAAGGCAAGCTCAAAAAAGTCTTGAACAGGTTTCAGATCAGGGTTTGCCCCTGCTATTCGCACTACTATTGTGTAGCCATCTCCAAACCTGAAAAACGGAGAGAAAATTCAGCATTGCACAATTGGCATTGCCAGGCAGGCTTTCAAGCCAGCACTCGTCAGGTCTAGAACTTTTATCTGCCTCTGAAGTGGAACTTCACTAGCCACTTTTAGCCAATTTCCCCTTAAAAAGTGGGTGTAAATGTTTCCACATGGGTCTAAGCCATCTCTCTTGAGACATCTTTAGAAAACCATTTAGAAGAAAGATTGCATCGGGAAATGGAAATCCCTAGATTTGCCACATCACCCCAGGGAGTTCTCCAAGTAAATGCAAAAACCAGTCCTATATATCACCGCTAAAATTTAAACCTTACTGGGTGCCTTGGAATTTATTCCCATTTAAATACATTAAACAAAGGTGTGTTTATTTTACAGAGTGTTTTGGTTCTTTTATGTTACAATAAAATTGGCTTTTCTAATCTGCATTCCTCCAGAAATGCTGATCTGCAACACCCATCATCTGTAGTCAAGACTGCTAGCTATGCTGGCTGGGCATGAAACATGCTGTAGAACAGCCTGTCTGAGGCATGCCCAGATTATGGGGACAGTTTGGTATAAGGGATGGAAAAGAAAATATTAAAACTTGCATTTCCTTTATCTTTGTTAAATTGTAAGATAGTGTATTTTGGGTCTTGTGTTTTTATTATGCAAATTTAATTTTTTTTGTTATGAGATCTATTAAATAACAGCCTTGAAAGTAAGTAAAATGGTGCCTGGCACATGCAGTTTTTTCTGAAGTGGTTCATAGAAATGTTTCCATAAAGAAACTGGATGTTCATAAAGAGTCAGAAAATCATCTGTGTGTGTGTGAGAGAGAGTGAGAGAGAAGAACAAGTGTAAAGCAGCCTTACCTGTTCTTCAGGTGCTGGACACTGCCGAGGCACCTGAACCGCCCATTGACCATGATCGCCATTCGAGTGCACAGGGCTTCACATTCTTCCATGCTGTCAGCAAAACAGTGTGTGTGTTACATACCATCAAGCTGGAACTAACTTACAGCAACCTTAGCAGGGCTTTCAAGATATTTAAGGAGTGGTTTTACCAGTTCTCCCCCCCACCAAAAGTGAATATCCATGGCTGAGTGGGGATTCTAATCCAGTTCTCCCGAGTCCTGGTCCATCACTGTATCCAGTAAACCACACTGGGTATACACAAATGAAGTATTGTTTGCCTAATTACATTGTAAACCACCACAAGAGTGCTTTAGCACTGTGGGCAGTATGCAAGTCAAAAGAACAACAACAATTATTCCAAAGACAGGGTCCAGAAATTTGCTACAATCATTTATTGCTTTAATTCCACGAACGATAAGTTGCCCAGGATATTTGGGCTCTTAAATCTTTAAGGTGGCAAACTGTCTTGTACCATATTGAAGGTACATTGGTTCCTCTCGCCCTCTACTGCCCACTCTGGTTGGTAGTCATTCTCTGATCTGATGACCTCCAGGTACAGATGTGAAATCATCCCAGTGCTCCTGAGGTGGTTCTTGCATCAGCCCTCCCCAGCGTGATAAGACTGCACTGTAAGTATTTATCAATCTCCCTCTTGGCTGAAGTGCGAGACCAAGACACCAAAGGATTCTTTCTTATCTTGTTATTTTGCAATTTGCATAAATTATCAAAGCAATTTGCACAATCCCATAGATCACTGAAAGTTTTTACAAAGGCTACCACTTTCCTGGAGATTAATGTTCTATTTTTCTATCGGGTGTTTCCAAGACCTAGTGTATACAAAATACATCCAATACCATCTAGTTTACACAACCCACCAGGCAACAGTTATTGTGTTTTCCAGCAACGGTTGAAGCTGAAATAAATCTATTGGATTCCAGTTGAATTTAAATACAACTCATTTAATGTTTTTACTGAAAGCTGCCTCACCATGAGATTGGACTCAAATGACTATCAGGATGTCTTCCAACTCTACAGTTCTACAATTCCATGTTTTCCCATCTGTTTCTCATTCCTATAAGCAACCCATGGAAGACTAAATGGCTTCTGTAGCTCGATCAAGGGGTGAGGAGGCAAACCCCCAAAATTACAGAGGAATTGCCCAAAAAAAAAAAAAGCAATTTAAAGATCCCACAACACACACCTGTGAGATGTAAGGACCACAGATCTTCCCTCCTTGATGACACTCAAGGCACAGTTCCACAAGAAACGGCGGGCCTTAGGGTCCATCCCTGTTGTTGGCTCATCCTGCAAATTATAAAGAACACAGCGTGGATTCCATCACTAGCATCAGATAATTCTTCTGTGATTTCAGAAACCAGCTCTGGTATACTGGCCACAGGTGACAAGGATATTCATGGGATTAGAGGATGTAATTTGACGACACTATAACCACCATGGCCCCATTCTATATAATTATGGGATATGTCATTTGATAAGGTGCTTAGTATTTACTCCTCTCATGCTGTAGTTAAAAGGAACATTCTGGAACTTTCTACAAGGAATTCTAAGTATTCCCAAACTACAATTATCATGGTTCTATAGGCTGTAGCCATGGCAATTAAAACTGTTGAATTGTTGTAACAGTGTAGTGTAGATACTTTCTAAAGATGCTTCCAAGCAGAGGATTCCAAGCACTACCAATATAAAGATATTAGCCAAATGTCTGTTGCTTAGCATAATAAAGCAATACTCATTTAGTAAGTCAACTCTTTCGGTTCTGTTGATTCACATGGGGCTACTCAACTGCAGTTTAACTATACAGTATTAAGTAATTCACAGTTAAGAGTAGACCCATTTAAATCAATGGAGTATAGAGTTGACTCATGAAATCCTCACTGATTCAATGAGCCTAATTTAGTGCAACGTATAGAGTTGACTCAGGAAATCCTGACTGATTCAATGAGCCTACTTTAGTGCAATTTACTACATCAACCAACAGGATTTTGGCCGATATGTAGCTGTTCTGCCTTTTTCTCTTCAAGAAATTTTGTGTGGAAAGAAAAATAATAGAAAACACAGTGGGAAAACATCAGAAGATTACAAATGGAAGATGACACTATCTGAATTTTTGCTATGAAGAATTCTATGAATGAGCTATCCTGTTTCCCTGAAAATAAGACCTAACCTGAAAATAAGCCTTAGCATGGCCAATATGTAGCTGTTCTGCCTTTTTCTCTTCAAGAAATTTTGTGTGGAAAGAAAAATAATAGAAAACACAGTGGGAAAACATCAGAAGATTACAAATGGAAGATGACACTATCTGAATTTTTGCTATGAAGAATTCTATGAATGAGCTATCCTGTTTCCCTGAAAATAAGACCTAACCTGAAAATAAGCCTTAGCATGATTTTTCAGGATGCTTGTAATATCACCCCTACCCCAAAAATAAGCCCCGATTAAGTGACACCCCGCCCTCCACTATTGTGCAGCAACCAGAAGATGACATGACTGTATTTGAATAAATGTAGATTGTTGTACATGAAAAAGTAAATAAATAAAAACATTCCCTGAAAATAAGACCTACTGCATTTTTGGAGAAAAAATTAATATAAGACCCTGTCTTATTTTCAGGGAAACATGGTAGGGTAATTCCCTGGGAAGTCTTGCCTGGAAGGACCCCTAATCTTGACACACATTCCTGCCCATTACAAAGGCAAGAGCATTGACTAGATGTGGCCAAAAATTTGGACGGTACTTTTTCAGTAGGATTTTGGATGCTGGCCCATAGAAGTTGTTTCTCTATACAGCCTAGTCATGGAGACTAACCTTTAGCAGCATGTGTGCATGTACGCACCCACTATAACGCTCTCAGTCTCTGATATGTTAGATTTTAGCAATGCAGGCCTCTTTAATTATTAATGTCAGAGAGCACTCAAAAATACAACTCCCCATGTGTGGTAGCAAAGAGGAGATATTTTCTTCCGCATTCTACCACCTCAGCCTGTGTTACATACAGAATACCTCTAACCAGAAATAGAGTTAATTGTTGTATGGCTCAGTAGTTTAGGTCCCTGGCTGCGGAGTCAGAGGTTGGGAGTTTGATTCCCCACTGTGCCTCCTTGAGAGGGGCTGGACTTGAACCATAGGGTTCCAATTAACACTGCAGTTCTAAGATGATGATGATTAAACTACACTGATGATTAAACTGCAACCATTACACTGCTAGAATTCAAAGCTTTGGAAATGTAGACTGAATAGCAACACTACCAACAACTGTAAGAACTTTTATTCGGAAGGATTTTAATAAGACATCTTTGTGCTCACATGCTAAGAAGAACTGATAATTATATGTCGCTGTTCTTCAAACCAAATCGTAGTCACCCCATGGCTTCCATATTATCGAGAGAACAACAGACCTGTCTTAGCTGAATAGCTTGCCCATACTCACTAGGAACACCACAGGAGGCCCTCCAATGAGAGCCATTGCAGTTGACAGCTTGCGCTTGTTCCCACCACTGTAGGTGCCGGCACATTTTTCTGCATATTTGACAAGGCCGAGTTTACGAACAGCCCACTCGCCAACCTATCAGACAGAAAGGCAAACATTAAAAAATATGCACAATTTCCACAAAATGCTCCTTGCCGTGTTTATGATTCTTATTCCTCTCAGGCTAATTTTTATTCTTCTGTTACCTGCTTCAGGTCATGGGATTCTGTATTCTGACACACAACCCTACCCCCACTACCCTGTTTTCTTCAGATGAACAGATCCTACCAACAATAACAACATAAAATCATTTTTAAAAGGAGGAACTGGAAGCAAGTAGATGCAAATTCAGAGTACTGTAAACAGGTACAATTGTATACCTGACAATTATCCTCAAAATCCTACAGTACTATATAGGTTGCTCATTATTTACTATTTCATCTAGAAGCTAATTCAGACAGATGGTACCCTTTTCCAAGTCTTCAATTGTTTTCATTCTATCTACCTGTTTAAGATCTCTTTGTGTGGATTCAAGATTTTGTCTAATTACCATCTGACTCTTTGAAAATTCTATGTAAGAATGCTCCCAAAGAATAAAATAACTTTCTTCTTTTAGGTATTTTGATTTGAAGAGATGTCATTTGGGGCCCACTTTAAAGCCTTTTTAAAATATAAAAATGGAAGCAATTTTAATGTGTAACATTACTGATGCAAGGCCACCTCAAGCATATAGTGAAGTGACATATAAATGTTTAAAAGAGAATAAACACTGTAAATATACTGTCCTGTATCATCACCCCTGTGAAGTTTGCAGGTAAATCAAGTGGCCCCTTCCTCCTGCTTCTATAAGTTTACCTTGTGGACTTCCTTCTCAGGAACCCCTCTTAAGAGTGCAAAAAATTCCAGGTGTTCCCTTCCTGTCAGCAGCTCATTAATGGCATCAAATTGTGGACAGTATCCCATGTTCCGGTGGACATCTTGGATGTTAGATAAAATACTGCAAAGAGGGAAAAAATTATTTCTTAAAGGGTTGTCAGTGTTCCAGCAAAGTATGCAGGGTGGATCACACTGTACCATTTTTATTTATTTATTTATTTATTTTGGAAGCAATAGATGCCAACACAAAACATACCTGCATGAACAAGCCTAGGTTATAATTTTGAAAGCAGGCATCAATTGAAGCATCAATCACTGGAAATTCTCTCTGTCCCATCCTCTGAATTTTCCAGATTTCACCCTCTGGCTCTGGCCAAGCTCACTTTTTAACCTACACAACTATGGCTTTAATAAAATGGAAAACTGGTATTTCTCAATAGGCTAAACTGTGCAAACAGTAAGTAGTAAATCCTGCCAAGGATATATATATCCCTGACCATGCTATTACCTTTCAAAGAGCTGATCCTAAAACTGAGGGGCAGAATTTGCTGAGTTTGACTAACATGTACACTATTCTGTATGTACATATATGATCAGAAAATTACGCATTCTCCTTATAAGCATTCTGTTTATTACTGTATGCTTTTCTGATCATATTTATATTAGATGTCAAATATTATCTTTTAAGAATAGTTTAATTTCTCTTCTTGAGTACAGCCTGATTGGCTATGAAGCAATAAAGTATCCATATTGTACACAGTCAGAAAAGCAAAGCAAAGGAAGAAAAGCTTTTTGTAGACAAAGCCTGTTTTTTCCATACCTGTTTCCTTTTAGAAAAGCATCTCCTCCTGTCACATCTGAGTCTCCCGTAAGCATCTTAAAAGTAGAGGATTTTCCAGCACCATTCACTCCCAGGAGCCCAAAGCACTACAGAATATTAGAAGACTGGGTCAGCCCCTGCATGTCTCTTCTTTTCCTCCCGTTGCCCTCTTATTTATTATTTATTTATTTATTTTAT